TTTTGTTCAGATCGGACGTCTATAGCATATAACTGGTATTCAAACTGACCAATCAAAATCAGACCAAATACGTTTTATACCCCTCTATGCTAATATAATAAATATAATAGTAGCTGTAAAGTGTGTATTAGCTTGGTACAGCTGAAGTAAAAGTTTTTCATGGTTTATCGACTATAATAACCTCAATTTTGGGTATTTATTGGTAAGGCTACTGAAACGGCTCTAGTATTTATTCGAAGTTGAAATATGAATAATTGATTGCAAAAATTATTTAACGACATTTATTGAACACCCTAACGTTTATTTCTCTCGATTAAGAAGCACCTTCACAATAATATATCATATTTAAGGAACACCCTAACCTGTTTCCTTTTCATTAAGAAGCACTATACAATATACATAATACACCATTATAACACTTAAATAGCACCTTAATGTATTTATTGCGTATTTAAGAACCATCCTAACCCTCTCTCATTTGCTCATAATTGTGGAAAAATTAATGCACGCATTTATTTACACATGTCAATGTATTTTCGCATTCGCTAATCATTCTCTCAAAACCAGATATTTACGAGCTAATTAATTAAGAGAAATGAAGGTGCTGATGCCGCGTGCCTAATGTCCATAAATAATAACAAGTGAATACATCTGAATCCAGGGCAGAAAAAAAGATAGTTACCATATACTAGAGGTATATTAATTTAGCGCAAATATTTATTTAAACTTACTTGCTACTGTGGTAGAACTTTGACGAGTTCCACTTGATTAATGGTATAACGAAACCTTTCATTGTTCATTTGCTGCTTATAGTATGAGACGTTTAATAAAGATTTGATTGTAAAAAATTAACGACTATTTCGTAGCAAATTCTTTCAGTGATATTTCCGAGACGTTGAAAGAATATTTATATATAGAGAGAGAGGGAGATAGGGGAGGGAAAATTTGTTCCCTATTCCCAGTATCTGAAAGTATTCAAGTTAGTGATTCTATTAAATATAAGTATGAAAGTCCTATCTTCATCACCTAACATAACTCAAAGAATTCTATAGAATTTTTGGCAATAAATATTAAAGGAAATCGCTCCTAACTGTTTTTATCTACCAAATGTGGTTGCTGACTAATATGACCTTTCGGCAGCCATCATAAATATTGATTTAATTACTTATTTACGCTTTGGTATGAAAGGGTTAAGTCAATGCAAGTCAGCCCTTGTGTATTTCTTGATTAGTGTTGGATTTTTAATTTTCGCCTTAAGTGTGTCAAACTTCATTTGGTTAAGTTAATAAAATTTAATTTATTTGTAAGTAAAATAATAGGTTAACCGGAAATTTAATTAGCTGTTGGGTTTTGTTTTTCGTTTCTTTCTACATTCTTTTCACTTTATAAAATTAAATCAGTATTCTTTATAAATAAATTTGGGGCGAAATATTTTACTGTATGTCTCCAACCACTTAAACTTTGAAACTTTTGTTTTGAAAGAATGAAGACGGAGAAAGTTAGCGAGATTTATTATACTTTTGCCGCTTCTTGTCATTCAGTAGCCAATATTATACAAGAGTGTGGATTTATTGCCGGCCGGAGATGCCGCAAAACTTTTATTTTAATTTTTTACCATTTTTTGAGTGAATGGAACTAAAATGGACACAACAAATAGGACTGCAAGCTCCTAACGCTTACCTTACTGTAAGGATGACAAACAATGTAGATGTATTACCATACTATAGAAAAAGAGAAATCTAATAATTAGAAAAAGGCTAAGTTCGTACAGTGTTTAACACTCGCACGGTTTCTTTTGTTTTTCGAGATATTCAGGTTAAGGCTATAAATGATCGCCGCTGTATGGGAAAGTCAATCTTTCTCTGTTTTTAGAACACAAATATCAAATATTAAAAGTAATACTTATATGATACACAAACATATTCAGATAACTGTTAAGATATTAAGCGTAAATTAAACGCAATTTTGGCAGCTTTCTGAAACTATTACTTCATCTTAGAAATATGCTGGGAACCGAGTTTGTTTCCTCACCGCTTTTGCATATATCAAGTTTACCACTGCAAGGTGGAAAGAACTAATGGGGTTCAAAATATATGTACATATGAGGTTCAATTTTTACATTTCTCGAATCAAGTATGAGCCAAACTTTTTAAAACTCACTCAAACACAATGATTACGGGGTTTGGTCTTAATCGTTCATCATTCCTCTATGTCATTAAGCTCTTCTTAAAAATAATCTAGAAGCAAAGGAGTTTTAAGAGAATTTTTTCGTAGTTGCCTAGTATGAGTTTGTGGATTTTTTTTAGCTTAATTACTTATATTTTAATTCAGAACTTACTCGTTTTAAAAAAGTACAGTCCTAATGAAATTACTGGACTATTTAAGGAAATTAAAATTGACTCCACTTAGTTCATTCAAACGTAAGTATTATATCTCCAAAAATATGACAAAATTGTCCAAGCGATGGCAAGTATTAATGGAGTTGAACTAGATAAAATATTTTGTTAGACGTCTTGAAATATATTTAATAGATAGTCTTCTATTGCTTCATTTTTGGCACAGTTGATTTTAGAAAACAGCGATAGCCGTTTCTACGGCTTTCGAATTGATGCCAATTTGAAATATCAAATTAAGTCAAACCTTTATTAATTAGTTTTTTTTTGTCCGCTAACACCAGCTAATACGGCATACTATCAAGTCTAGAGCGGAAATTCAATATTTTATATATTATTGTCATAAAGTTCGAACCACTTTTGGTATCCTTTTGCCGGTATATCTGCCCCTTTCAGAATCCGAAAATATTATTGCTATCGGTCACAATTCGGCTTTATATGCAAAAACGAGTATTATGGGAGACATATTGAATGTTAATCCCAAATTTACTCTTTCACTAGGATTTCGAAAAAGTATACCAAAAGCATACATACCAGTCACTCAATAACAACCGCAAAACATTTTCGAAATGTGATGGTCATATGAAACGAAAGAAAACAGCGGTTTTATTTATTTGTTGTTGTTCCTACTTATAGGGGTACCAGACAATGGTCAAAAGATAACATAAAATTAAATTACACATAGCTCCCAGCCTCCTCGCCCAACTACCTCACTTCCATCCACCCACCGACGCCTTTAACGGAAGCGAAAGAAGTAAACGCTTCGGTTGAGCGGGGTTTGCCAAAAACACCTTCACCATTTCAACGCTATTTACGAATATTTACAGAGCAACGGAGCACACACACACACACACATGCATATATATATGTATATATTTACTCATTGCTAAAGCGGTTTTTATTATTTCTCGTTACACGCACGAACGCTCACGCGGCAGCAACGGATTTTTTCATTAAAACGAAACTGACAATAAGCCACGAGCGTGTACACTTCCTTACTAACTTACTGACTTAGTACTTTTTAGCTAACTGAAAAGCGGCAAATGCTTATAGAATTTATATTTGGCGCATCTGCAAAAAAAAACATAAGTAATTTTCCAGAGTTGTAATTTTTTGTGTGCATATGAATGGAAAAAATTGTGGGAGTGATGTTACTAATGATATAATTTTCCGGGAATAAAACTTGAAAGAGCAAATAAATTGAAAATAAAATAAAATAAAATGGGCAAACAAAGGTATACTTAAGAGCTGGGAGACAGATTGGGCATCAATTATTTGCAAGATAAAAATATATCCATTTTATTATTAGATCACAAAATTTCTCAAGTTTAATCTTCCAACGTGTGCTCTATAATCTTCAACTACTACAGTAACTAGCTAAATACAGAGACATTCACGTAATTACGAAGTCAAGCCATAACCATACACAACAACATCGTAAAGCACGCGAATTTATGAGACATGTGCATGAGAAAGCAAGTTAAGCCTCCAGAGAAGCAGCAACTACAAACCTAAAATTCATATTTTTATGTGTAACTGGTCGGTTGAGAAATATCCCAGCAGCAAACTTTAGAATTAGAATTACCCGACGATTAGTATCGAATTCTATTATGATATTTATAGGTTACAAAAAACATTAACTGAACGGGTTGCCAGGTTCACGATATTTAATAAAATACTATTTTGGTCTTAAAAAGAGTTATAGAAGAACTAAGAGATTCGAAAATTTTTCAAAAACACTTATTTCAAATACTAACAGAGTTTTCTATACGTGTTAAATATGAACTTCATTTGCTTATAATAATTTCAAAATTTACAATTATTTTTATAAAACACATGGCAACTCTGGTTAAAAAATTTTGCGGAAATTTTTCGTTATTGTCCCTGTCTTAACTTGTTCTTGTTTTATTTTTTATTTTATTGCTTTTCAAAATTTTTAGGGTTGCCAAACAAATTCAAAAGTATGAAAATACATTTTAATTGCTAATTTAAAAAATCAATTTAATACATAAAACAATTAATTTCTATAACATGTTTAGCAAAGAAAATACCAGGGTTAGAGTTGCCATGTATTAAATTTTTTTTTACAAAAGTTCATGAACCAAATGCCAAATGGCTGGTAATCGAAATGGAAAAAATAAAAAGAAACAGTGCTTTGATTGGCAACTATTTTGGTAATCGCAAAAACACTAATAGAGTCGCCAACAGTTTTAAACATATGAGGACAAAAAGTGCTCAAATGGTATTTTAATGTTAAAATTAGTTTGCACGATGTGAGCATTGCAAAAATATCGTAGAAAATATTTTTAAGCATCCAGAAACGAGTTCCAGATAAATTTATTTATTTAAGAGATTCGCAAATATTTTTTTTTTTTTGGGATTTTAGAAGTAATATTTTTCGTAGTTAAACTTACGATTAAATTTAAAAATAATAAAAATAAATTAAAAATATATATATAATAAATCAAATTTTTATTATAAAAAAATTGCCAACAAATTAAAAAAAAAATTATATTTAAATAAATAAAAATGTGATCCGATTTACATTAAAAATATTTAAAATAATAAAAAAAAAACTTTTCGCAACTTTCTCATTGCACAGCAAATACGAATTTACCTCGAAAAATCACTAAATGGAAGGTGAAAGTGTGGTGGCAACATCCATTCTCAATTCACACAATACTGTAGGAGCAATGCTTGAACATTTCGCAGAGAGTTTAAGCCGCCCACAGGAATATTACGAGCGTCATGATTCCCACGCACGAGTGGCGACAGCCGCAATGGGCACAACAACACTACCAAATATGCCACTGTCACGTCTGGCCCAAGTTCTACTCACAATATCACCAAATTTAGCGGATAATACTACAATATATCCTAATCTGGCAGACATTTTTGAAACAACATTTACACCAACAACAACGAGTACGGAAGTTTTCTACACACATGCCCCACAATTCTCCACCACAACGCTGATAAAAGTCTGTGTATTGGGTGTGATGGCCGTTTTCTCACTCTTCGGCAATATGCTCACCATGTGGAACATCTATAAGACACGCTTCAAACGCCGTAGCTTGCGAAACTCTTGGAATGCCATCTACTCGCTGCTATTTCATCTATCGATTGCGGATTTACTTGTAACGGGTTTCTGCATTATCGGTGAGGCAGCCTGGGCTTACACAGTGCAATGGCGTGGCGGTGATCTCTTGTGTAAATTCTTCAAGCTCTTTCAAATGTTCAGTTTATATTTATCTACATACGTGATGGTGCTGATCGGTGTGGATCGTTGGTTTGCGGTGAAATTTCCTATGAGATCGTTATATATGACTAAGAGATGCTATCAATTTCTGGGCATCGTCTACATGTCATCGTTTATATTGAGCATACCACAGGTGAGTGGAGTCGTTTTTATTTCAGAAATATTAGCATACAAGTATATAAGGCGAAAATATTAAGTAAACAATTAAATTTGACTTAAGTTAGACCACTTAGGGCTTAGGTGATGTTCAAAAGGAGTTAAACAAAAAAATGTTGCGCATTAAACTCCTTGTTTAAAGTTAAACACCGTAATTTTCATTAAACTCAGGTTTAAAGTAATTAAAAAGAATAAAAAAACAAAGCAAATTAATAAGGCATCCTTACTGCTTTGTATTAATATTTATTGTATTTAAATTTGTTGCTATTTTCACATGCATACAAATATCTTGGTAAGCGAGTAGAGCTCAAACTTAACGAGCAGAGTAGTGATGAACCGAATTTACGTATGTAAGACAAGAAAATCACTTACCCACTTACCCACTATGGTGGATTCAACAAGAATCTTCAGACGGTGAAAGTGCCAATCAAGAAGGGAAATTATTAACAGTTACAAGTGCCACTCAAAAAGCGAGCCTATAAAGAGCTTTTCGGTCCTCTATGCATATAAAATGATATTTCTCTCGCACAAATGGCATACAAGTAAATTTGCGTACATTATTTTCCAGGCAAAGATAATAAAGATACTTTTATTTATATATTGGAAGAGCATGTATATTAGAATGGAGCGACAAAAAAAAATTTTTTTGCTTAGCCTGAGTGTAGATTATAAAAAATAAATTTTTTTAACATCTAGAGGCGGCCCACTCACTTTTAAAGTAAATTTCGAGTTTTTTTTTTTTTTGGTTTAAGCTCTTCACATTTATATAAAAACTATCGAATTTGAAGGTTTTTGACTCAAATTTTATTTTAACGCTTAAGGAAAGCATGTTGTCGTTTAAGGCTTTTTTTTAAAACTCCAATAATGAACACAAAATTTTTTTTTAAGTTGATAACTTTTAATTGGCAAGAAAGAGGACTCTCCACAGCTTCTAGAACACCTATCAAAAATTTTTTACGGAATACAAATTTTAACTCGAAACTCTACCTTAAAAGTGAGCCTCTAGATGGTATAACATTTTTTTTTTTCCAAAAATTTTCTTTCATTATAATCTACAAATTTGACACTCAGGCTAAAAAAATTTTTTTTTTGTTCCACCCTAATGTATATATAATATTTATAGGTGCATACATACATACATATGTAAATATAAGTAGAGGTTAGCATGCTTTGTAATCGTAAATAAATTAATGCCGCTTTCTGTAATTTCATGGGCAGCTTCCGATTTCTCTTGCAACTTTTTGCTTTTATTAAGGATTATTTAATTGTTAATATTAACTTGCGTTTCCCGTCGTCAGCCTATTACAAATTATACTGCATTCCGCCCCCCCCCATCGCTATCCTCAACTTGTGTTCGCTTAATTTCGTCGACTATACGTGCGCCAAAACTTTTATAATTTATTCTCTGTTGTGGTCATAATATAACGGTGCACGTATTATAAAGTGTAAGCGCCATAAATACAACGTTTGATAACTTCTACGTGTGCCAATATACTATGCCGTACAACAATAACAATTATAACGTGAGCTGGAAGTGCCTTATTTTCGTAAGAGCTCGCTAACTTTTGTAGTACGAGTGTGTATATATGTGTGAATGTTTTTGAAATTGATATGCATACGAGGTGGCGCTGCCAAGTTTACAGGCTCCGTTGGGCATTGTTTAAGTAGTAGTCCGTTATATGGTTGATTTAACTTTGTCGTAACTATGAAAATGCTTAGAACATATTACGAGTCAAAAATATGTTCCCAAAAAATCGGCAAGGAAGGTATAGGTTATCTCTAAACTCTTAAAGCTAAGTTGGAGATCTGGGACAATTCTTTTTAGACATACACGACACACACTAACAATCGTTCTAATTTTCTTCGTTCTAGTCTTCTTCGAATTTCCTCCGATGATCTGCGCATTGCCTCTTGACAGCATTGCAGTCCTTAGATAATAAATATTCTCCACACTTCTGAAGAAGTTGATAGTTCTCCTGCAACCCGATATGACTCTAAAATCCATTCGCCATTATTTAATTAATAATTTTAAGTATTAAGTATCAAGTAGTTATGTTTGAATTATTGTAAAATTTCATTACTAGCTCTCGGTCTTTCGATAAATTAAATAGAATGGTAAAAACATCAATCTTTCCATCTTCTATCTTATTTTCCTCTTATTATACCTAAACAGATAAGAAAACTAAACTCATAAGGAAACTTCGGGCCCCCTATATTAATGATCAGCGTGACGAGCTGAGTCGATTAACTTCTGGCCGTCTATAGACACGCGAATTAGTCTCTCAGATTTTAAGATATTGATTCAAACTCCCTTCTCAAGAAGTTGCTCATTTGTCGATACTGCCCTTATCCGACCTCTATAGCATATACATACTAATCCATACAAACTGATCGATCCAAATCAAGTTCTTGTACGGAAAACTTTTTTATTTGACAAGATATCTTCACGAAATTTGGCATAGATTATTGTGCAAGGCAACGGTACAATCTGTGAACATATTTGTCTGGTCGGATTACTATAGCAAATAGCTGTCGTACAAACTGGCCGATCAAAATCAATTTAAGATCTTTTTTTACTATTTTCTGCTATAAGAAATGTGCTCGCAAGGGTATTCTAGCTGCGGCTGTCGAAGTTAACGTATTTTCTTATTTTCCTAGAAATTTTCGCAATTCCAAAGCTATTTTTTAAATTTCTTCTTTAAGAAAACCACTGTTTTTTAATATAATACTAGACTCATGATTGCATGAAGGGAAATAAATGCGAGAAACTGCATATAAGAATCTAATAAATCCATAATATAGAAGCTATGAAATCAAAAATAACTCACTTTCATACCATGAACTTCGAAAGTAATGGGTACATATATAGAATATCAAAGGCAGGTGATCTTCTTTGAATATTACAATACTATAAGAACTCTATCAACAAACTTTTTACAAAATCCACAAAATATACGTTCTTACAAAATTCTAATTCTATTGAGTCTAAATATCAAGCTCGTAGTGGTGTACTCGTATTTCTATATAATTCTATAATAAAGTAAATGTGATCAAATAGTTGTTGTAATACTGAGGCAATGGTCTGTGCCTTCGCTCAAGAGTTATAGTAGTCATAAAAGTAGTGCATAAAAGAGCACGGCATGATGACTTGCTACTCTCAAGCCGACGTTTCATGCCACATAGTGAATTAAACTACTTACTATCGACTACAAAAAATCCTTGATCAAAAGGCGCTGACATTGACAAGACTGCCAGAACTTTATATTCGACTCGCCCTGATTTCTTTTTGTGGGCATTATTTGGAAAACAAAGTGTACTTTAGCAATCCTCGGTCATGCCAAAAATATTGCTCTACCGTCCGAGATGAGCGAAGTGGTAATGGAAAACGAGGTAAACAGAACTCATTAATTTTGCATTTGTAAAGAAAGATGGTCATTTGATGAAAGTTATATGCGAAAAACTTGTTCAAATAAATTTTAACATCGATAAGGACTCGCCAAAAGCTGCGGAAGTATATCTATATTATAGTTCGGTTCTGGCACCAAGTGATTACAACCTGCTCCTGACAATGGTAAATATTTTTACTAGTCAAAAATTCGCCTTAAGAGAAGCTCGCGTTTTGGCCAATGCGGACGATAATTATAAAATTACCTTTAAATAGGCAACAAGTTATCAGACGTAACTATACTAAATAAAACCCAGAATTTATATAAAAATCTATGGTATATATGGTAGGCAAAACTTGGAATCACTCTTTGTATAGGACTTTTTATATGCAATTTTTCTCATTAAGATCTTTTCATTTCAGATTCAACGTACGCTTTTCCAAGTTAATTATCTTTAAAATTTCATATATAATGTTTAAAGATTTTTTATATAGGTTATATATAGGTATAGTACCTTTTATTTATCATGTACATGAATATATGCCGATTTGCCATCCGATTATCTTCGTAGGGCTACCATATATTTTAAATGTCATTTCCACATCCTTCTAATATTCTGAGTTATTCTTCACGAATTTATATAAGTGAAAAGCTGGTGTAGACCTGGATTGTTCCGATTTGTCATTATTCAAATTGTAAACTTAAGTGATATATAATATTTTATTAAGTTTTAGTTAGGTTCTACATAGTTTGGCAAACGTAATATTGACAACACTCAGGCTCAAAATTCTAAAAATCAGCCCTCGCAAGTGTATATACTACTAATGAATGCTTTGCAAGAACTTACGACATGCATAAAATTTGTTATGCTTCAGTTATGGGAAGTCATTATGAAAAAGTTCTCATACATATGTACATTCTATATTTGTTATTGACTTCTTTATTGTTTACTTTTAGTCACACTTACACACACCCACACATACAACCCACCAAAGCAAATAACTATTAAACATGATTATTTTTATTATTTCTTCCCGTCGTATAGTTTTTCATATTTCATTTATCGCGCGGCCCATTCATCGAAGATTTCCATCAATGCGTGACGCATGGCACCTACACGGCACCCTGGCAGGAGCAGAGCTACACCACATTCACGCTTTTCAGCACCTTTCTGATACCCTTTTGTGTGCTAACCGTTACCTACATTTCCACGTTCCGAGCGATTTCACGTAAGTACATACTTGTACATACATACAAACCTGCAATTAAAATTAGCAAACGACTAGTGAAAGTGAAAGAGCGAAAAAGTGGTAATTTCAATACAACACAATTGCAGGAAGTGAAAAGATATTTTTGGGACCGCAACAGGAGCCGCACACGAGCGCCAATTTAATGCACACGAATCGACAACGGCTCATACACAAGGCGAAAATGAATTCGCTGCGACTGTCTTTTGTGATAATAATTGCATTTCTCATTTGCTGGGCACCCTACTGTACCCTCATGGTGTTGCTACAGTTTGTCGACATCGACGATGTGGTGAGTCTAAGGCACTTTTTGTAAATACAGTAAAACCCGCTTAAATGCCTCACGAAAAACTAACCGCTTACTTAGGCGAGCTTGGTGCTTAAAAGTTCTTCTATGCGAGCACAAAACCCAAAAATTATAGTTAATTAAATAAGCGGGTTCGGTACTTCAGCTAGAGATACTTAAGTGGGGTTTACTGTACAAAAGTAATAACGGTACTAAAATTCAGTCAATTATTTTTTTGTACTTTCTTTTACTTTCAGACCAGCAAAAGATTAATTGATGTCATCTTCTTCTTTGGGATGTCCAATAGTCTGGTAAATCCCCTCATATACGGCGCCTTCCATCTACACACTATAAAAAGAAAATCCAGCGATAAAGGCGGGAATGGTGGCTATAGTCTAAATCGGTGAGTAATTTTTTGAGCTCGTTTTAGGTTATGGATATACAGATTTTATGCGATCGAAAGAAACTTAAACTATATAAAAAGTCTTCACAAACTATAGAATGCAACAGAAATACTTGTATTATTAGTAAATGATGAACCCGCACAAATTTTCACACTATGAGAGCCCTGAAAATGTGCGAAAAGGGATAAAAGAAGCTGTGATAATACTGTGTGCTGCTGTGAGCTACTTGGAATATATATTAGATTAGGTTAGTTAGCATACACCAGTTTTGGTCCATAGCGCTACTAGCTGGAGTGTAGTTACGTAGTCCATGAGAAGTAGTCTTTCTTTAGGATGCCAAGACTTGACGGGAATTTCAACAAGTTCAGCTCAGTAATGATACCGCTTCCAGTGTCTCATAAAGTTGCTTGGAGCACTGCTTTGCCAATCTGAGAGAAGTGCACCAGAGATGCTCTATTGTTTCCCAGGTGTTTTGCTCTTGACATTTCCTATAAACTTCTCAAACTGTCGGCCCCATTCTGCAGGCATGTGTCGCCATCAGACTGTGGCCAGTGAGTATTCCAATCTTGTTAATACACTCCCTTCTATTGAGGGTTAGTAGGAACTTTGTGTATTTCCTTGCTATGCTCCTAGATCGTCGTATAGACAATTCATGGGTTTACTAATGTTGGTCACGTTTTCGGTTGACAGCCGTATACCACTCTTTGCAATCTCGTCCACTATCTCATTGCTCTCGATACCTGGCACCCAGTAGAAGTGAAGTATCTTGTTCCGGCCGACACTATCTACTGCTGCCCTGCTTCCCAAGACATCTTTCAAGCATCCGCCTTGTTTATAATTGTAAAAGATTAAGAGTTATCATCTCGAAACTGGACAAAAAATCTGTACAACATAGGAAAAGTAATCAATTTCAACTAACTACTACAACTAAGGATTTGAGATAAAAAATCTTTGTCCGTTCCACTTATGAAGCGGAAAAAGGTTGCAAGTAAAGTGATAGAGAGATCGATAGATAGAGATATTGTCATTGAAAATTCAGGTTAGGTTCTTATTTTCATCTAGGTTAAGATTCAATATTTGATTTATTCGCGTTAAGTAGAACACTGTGTATAATAGTCAGGCCTTAAGGCAAAATGTATTTCTTGGCTGTTGACCCAAAATAGCTAAAATATTCTTGACTGAAAGAAGAAGCTCGAAAATATGCCTAAACGCAACCGTACATAGCCGAAGAGTCCTATCTGGCGGAAGCAATATATCCTGCCAGTTTGGATTGTTTCAAATAATTTTGAGTATGATCCTAATGAGTATCCATACATATGCTTCTTTTTTGTTCCATATACTTACAAACCTAACGGTAATAAATTCCATATTCGATTTGTGTTTTGCTGATTTATGGAACAAAGGAAAAACCTCATATTGAATAAAAATTTTAAAGATAAAATATTTATTAAAAAAAAAACCATTTACATCTGGAATATTCACATGATTGTTTACTCAATATATATGATTTCATAGCATATCTGTTTACGAGTATACCATATGACTGGTGTGCAATAAATACCCAGCAAATGCAATTGAACTGCATTGTGAAAATTTATGAGTGACTTTGCCAATACTTGTAGTATAAAATCAGGTAAAGCAATTTAGGTCTTTTCAAATAGAATATTATAAATCGTAGATAATCCAATGGCGCTTTCCGGCTTGATTATCAAACATATCGTTTTATTGAAACAGAATAGATACTTAACCGAAATATGTAAAATATAGCGGTAAATAAGAATTTAGTATAAAATATACCAGAAGAAGTCAAATACAATTTGTTGGGTTAGGTTAGTTCATACCAATATCCATACTTATATTGTATACTTAAGTCGGTACTAGTCCAATTCCTTCTGGTATTTGAAACAAATTTCTCTTTAATAATAATTAAACTCCAGAAAGAAGTTTTTAAAGTTAGGTGTAATTATGCGAAGTTTTATTTTTCCGAAATAAATTTGGATAGACCTAGCATGATGCAACGTCAACATATCACTTATTAGCAGCTCTGCTCTAGTGAAAAAATTGCTTTGATTTCTCAACAGATAGCTTCTGAGATATTGCGGATTTTCTTTATTAAGGTTATTTCCCTGCTAGAAGCGCCCAAAGTTTGGGGATATTTAATATAACAGTATATCAATCGTTTTTTTTAGGAGTCCGTGACTGTTGGTAAAACTAAGTGAGCCAATACTGATTTTTGAATAATCACTTAAGTAATGGTCAATGGTATGGTAATGATCGGATGATAAATAAGTCACTTTCAGTTGGTAATCAGATGGTATTTTGATGATAATCAGTTGATATTCTTTTGATAATCAGACGATAATCAGTTGAAGATCAGATGATAAATCAGTTGGAGATCTGTCGATCAGTTAATAAAATGATATTCAGGTGATAAGAAGTTAATCATGTGGTGAGCCAGTTTTACAGTTATATTAGCAAAATTATATAAAACAAGTAAGGAAGAGCTAAAGTCAGATGTAACCGAACATTTTATACTCTCACAAAGTCCAATGGTATACTCGTTTGAGTTTTTTTTATATATTTTAATAATTAGAAGTAGGAACTGTTACCTCAGTTATTTACATTCACAGTGAAATTAATTAGAGCAATTTGTAAACTAAATTTACTCAAATTGTGAGAAGTCGTTCTTGTGATTTGTTGTATTCGCTTATAATTGATTTTATATAGAATGCATTACAACTGTATTGAGAAGTATTAAAAGAAAGAAATCGTTTCTTGACAATGAATCAAATTTCTTATTTATTATATCGATATTATTATGCATGTTTAGCTATCGGCACAAAGGTACCTTGTTATGAGTAAAAGACGCTCTCTCATATTCATTGAGATAACTCACATATTGGTCGATATATGCGGTATAAAGTCAGCTGGAAGTTCAAAAATTTTTATATTAGGTATGTATATGAGGGCTATAGGAAGTATTGATCCGATTCAACCCATTTCTGACACAAAGACATACTATTATCGAGAGTTTCATTTATTTATTTTATTATATGAATTTCCATTATATATCTTACACATTGACCGATATTTTCGGTAAAAAGTCAACTATAGGCATTGGTGTCCACATATTCAGCACCCAGGGGCTTGAACAGTTTTGGTTCGATTTAGACAATTTTTCTCACAATGTGGCATACTTTTAATGCATTATTCACGCAAAATTTTACCGCGATACAATCATTGTTGCTTTATTTGCATATTGGAAAGTAAAAGAATCAGATGGAATTTAAAATGGAGTTATATGTAAAATAGGCGTGGTTGTAATACGATTTCGCACTATAACATAGAAATATGAGAAGAATGTTATGTACCGAATTTGGTTGAAATCGGTTAAGCAGATTCCAAGATATGGGTTTTTACCTAAAAGTGGGCGGTGCCACGCCCACTGTCGAATTTTGATACTGTCGATAATGGTGCATTTGTTCTCAGGGATTTTTGTTATTATAGCTTTAGCAATTTAGAAGATATGCACATTTAACCTAATGTGATCCGGTATACCAAATAACAGTCTTGTATCCTATTGTGGAGCTTAGTTGTGGCAGTGGTCCGATTACGCCCATATTGCGGAACCAAGAAAGACCGTCTTATGAGTACCAAGTTTCATAACGAAAATTTACGCTCCTCAGGCACCTCACACAAATAACTTTTTGCGGCTTATTGACGTACACTTTACTTGATATTGAGCTATTTAAATTATTATTTAATATGATAATTATAAACCTATCACATTTCACGAACATACCCAATACGAGTTAATTGAATATATTTATAGAGCCGACTCGCAGCGTAATCAATCCATGCTAACGGCTGTTACACAAATCGACGGCAACGGACGCAGCACACGCATCAACCGACAGCCCAGCTATTATCGCGCCCAACACAATTTCAACAACTCCAAGGAGCAGGCCAGCCTCTTGCAGATAACCCCCACCACCGCCATTGTGCATAAATTCAATTCGAACTCCGAACGCAGTTCGGTGGGTTCATCGCCACAAACATGCTCCACGAATTTGACACGCAGCGAAATGGGCGACCACGAACACGAGAGCGGCTGTGAGGGCAGCAGCGGCGCCAAGCGCGATGCAAATTCGCACAGCACGATGGTGTATAGCTATAAGAAGCCAGCTATTTTGCGCGCACAAAGTTTCGAGGCATTAACAATTTCGCCGCCCAATAATCGTATGCAAGCGCCGAAAGCTGCGCCAACAATGTCCGAGAATGGTTTTCACCAGTCGGTGTGTGTGTTGAGCTTGGAAGATTGTAAAATATGCGCTGACGAACATGTCTCTAATGTGTAAGCGTTTGTGTGAGGGTGTGTGTGTATGTATATGGGGGATCCGAAATACTTTCATCAAAAAGTTCCTTATTTAAATAACACATCCTGCTATGTGCGTATGTACATATGTAGGTATATATTTATATTTCTCCGACAATATGCTGTATGTGTGCGTATGTAATTAATTTCTCAAATAAGGTTTGTATATTGATGTATATAAAATGTTAAGTAAAAACTTTTGTTATTTTACATAACAGTAGAAAGTACTTGGATATATTACAAGGATATATGGACGTCTATGCAATAAGGAAGCAAAATATGAAAATTTTATAAATTAAAAAATTATGTATTTAAAGTAAAATTACAAATTTATACCAAACATCGAATTTTAAGTCGAAAAAATAAAAAGACAAAAATATATTATAATAACTATATATTAGAATAGTATATTTGTATGTATTTTAATATTATAATATAATAATAATATTTGATAATTATATATAAATAATTTTAAAAATCTTTTATTTTCACTATAATGAGCACAATTCATTCATAAAAAATAATTATATGTAACTTTTTTTCGGCATTTTTAAAGAAATTTAAATATTTTAGCATTATTCTTTTAATTTTTTTTCTCAATATACGCTTCGAAACGAAGATAAGAAACGATTGAAAGCGTAGAAAAGAAAAGTAAGAAGTGTTAAAATATTCCTCAAATATATTCGTGTTAGTTGTTTTGAGCATCTAGTTTCCGAAAATTCATTACTAAATCCATTTTTATAACTTTCTTCAACTATTATTATTTTAATTCTTTTTTTAGTAAATACCCTAATCAGGGTATATTCAGGTTTCCGCGAAGAGTGGAAACGTCAGAGACTCTAGAAAGCATATATAGCAAGCTAGTCTCTCAGTTTTTCGAGATATCGATCTGAAATTGACACATTTTGATCTCGCAAAGAAGCTCAGAACTACCGATAACGGACCACTATCATATATGGCTGTCATACATACTCACCGTTGAAAACATTTTAATTTGATAAAATATCTTCACAAAATATTAATGTCGAAGGCAACGCTACAATCTCCCACTAAATTGTTCATATCGAACCACTATGGCATACAGCTGCCCTTCAAACTGACCAATAAAAACCAAGATAAAAATCTTCAGGAAAGAAGAACCTTAATTCGACTTCGTTTATATTAAACAACGTGGCTAGAAAGAACTAGCAACGCGTTTTTACTTGGAGGCAAATTTTTGGCCAGTTATAGTTACTATAACAATTTTTCCGGTAAATATATTTCTTTTAATTTTTTATTGAAATTTTAAGTTTTTCGGCGATTCGATATTTTATCGAGCTTAATCGCTTTTAAAAAACCTTTTTTCTCACAACCAAAAAGATTTCTGAATTTTTTAAATATTTTGAAGAGTCTAATGTCCATCTAAGCCATTATTTAATGTACTCTGCGCGAAATATTTCTTTTCTGTGGTTCAGACATTGAACCGAAAATATGTATTATTTATGTAGGTATGTATAGAAAAATTTTTGGAGTTACAATCTTCTAAAGTGTAGCCGCTCAATTCAATACTCTTAATCAGTTTGTGTTAAACATGTTTTTCTCAAAACAGCATTATTCAACTTTGCTGAAGTGATTACTCGGACACAAATTATCACACCAATCTCATTATTTTTCTGCAAGTTTTATACAGAATTCTATTTTATCTGATTAAATTCGACCAAACATTATCAAAATTTTGGGTAAAATTCAACATTTTGTAAACTTTTGATTTTTTCGACTTTTGATTTTTTTATCCACAGAGAAGTTTAGCATCACTCTAGAAGTGGATAACCTGTTATTAGCGCCGTCGGATATCGTGTATAATTCAAAAAATATTTAATGTTTGTAAAATTTAAAAACAATTATACAGTAAGTTTTCAATTTCCAAAAATCTCCTCAAGGTCTCTTATATTTTTTCTGATGCAAAATAATCGTTCAAATTCAGCTGAATCTACTTAAGCGCAATCAATCATTAAATATAATAATTTTAAAATTTCGTTTATACCTTATACCTTACAACTCACTTTATTTAATTTTTCTAACACTACCAATATCTTAATATCTTATGTTATATTCTAAATGCCATATATTAATCAAGGGTTTAACAAAATTAAAGATTTATCCGACTTCTATATTTGTATATCGTCCAAATGCATTTAAATTAACATTCTCTGATATAAAGGCAGCAAATTTTACTAAACAAAACCACCTTAGCTCTCAAACTGCTGCATTAATGTATTTACATTTTAAATTTTTAAATATGTGCTGCATACAAAATGCCTACAAATGATTTAAAATTAGATGTTGCAATAAAAAAAAGCGCATCATAAAGGTATGCAAGTATTTGGAGATTCGGCAGGAGCTGAAAGATTTATTTAAAACGGCTTCATAAAGTGAGGAAAGTTTCAAAAGGAAATATCAAAAGTTCGCCAACAACAAGGCATATGGCAATGTGACGACAATAAAAGGCTTGGTTTCTGCTAGCATTTTCTTCAACTAATAACTACTCTAATCATAAATAAAAACACTTACACTTGAATTTGAGGTTGCAGCTTCTCTACAAATGACGAACGTTGCATTCATGCACACACTTAAGTACAATATTTCACAAACACTTTGATAACTATTTCCTAAGTCCACACGAGCACTCTTCAATGCCCCGGCATTTATTTCATTTAAACAGCAGTTGGCGCAGACATTACTACAAAATTCTACACAAAAATCATTAATTTCTTCAATATTTCTCGAAATATATGAAACATTTCACAAATTACAACACACACGGCCGGCAAGCAAATTCGGAAGTAACGCGACTGAAATGGCGGCGGAAATTTGACAAAAAGCAGGGTTACACTTTTTCTTAAAAATGTGGTATTCACGGTGAAGTTTTGTAGTTATTTTTATATAAAATTAAAATGAAATGAAAATAAATAATAATATAAATAAAATATATAGAACTTATTAAGAAACCAATTTGTTTTATTTAATACGTTGAAAAATATCTAACAAACATAATATTTTCGAATTTCAATATTTATACAAAAACTTGTACGAATTTATTTTAAATTGTTTTTAAGTAAATACAGTATATTTACTTTAAAGTTTATATAGACGCTTACCAGGGTAACCATCAGATCTATATTTTATTTTAAAATATTTATTTTATTAATAGCTGACTTTCGTACTTTTTATAACAAACTCATAAGCTAACATTTTTTTTGCCAAGTCTGTTTATTAATACAATTTTTTACATAAATACATTTTCTGTTAAGGGTTATAGTAATTATAAAGAATTAATTTTTCAAACTATTGTGAATAGCACACCACCGATTCACCAACAAAAAGGGCGACACTGCGTCTATCAAATTTCCGGCGCCGTTTTGACAGTTCCATATATACTTCCGCGTCGTGTGTGTTGAAATTTAAGCAAATTGCGCATATTCTGTGAAATAGTGATAAAATCGAAAGTTTTTGTGCAAAATTTTAAAGCTAAGTGTGCGCAAATGTGCAAATAAGTGGAATTAGAGAGAAAGTAATGCTTCGCATTGGATTTTTCTAGCCAAATGCTTAAACTGTAGTGAGTGGAAGAAAGAAGTGTGCAAAAATTTTTGTGCGTTCAAATACTAAGAAGCTCGAGCGGCACAAGTGTTGTTGCAGCTACAAGCAAGCGGAGTTGCGGAAACATTGCCATTGGTAAGTGGATTTACAGTCAAAATTGTATGAGACACATTTTCAATAATTATTTTTTTCGTGATAAAGTGCATACCGGTGCTTTTTATTTGATTTGATGAACTTTCTTTGTTTTACGGTAAGGTTAGGGGTGCAAGGGATTTGTTTCGTAAGAGCTTTTAATTCTAATTTCTAAGATAATTGCTAATATGAATTAGCTTAGCATATAAATTCCGGTTTCAGTCGAACGAAAGTTGGTATATAAGTGAGGTTATTTCATATATAAGTTTGAAATAATAGGAAAAATGTCGTAGATCTCCTCGTAGATGAATAAGTCGCTTTTTTCATGGGCTGTAGCATAATTTTTTGTTTTTTTTGTTTTATTACATATCCACTGATTTTAGTTGAGCTCATGCTTTCATTTTTATGTGAATCTGACACTCAAATCAATGTTACGCAATATTAAGCATAATGAAGTAACTCATTTGTTGAACTATGCTCCTCAGAAATTTTGATTGATTACTTTGGAAATTTTCAAGTATTTTATATAAATTTCATTTTTCTTATATATGTAAAATGTATTGAAAAATAATAATTTTTTTAGTACAAATAATTTCGTTTAAAAGTCAAATAAAAAGCAAAATTTTTTAAATAAAAATTATTGCTATATTTTTAACAAAAAAAAATGTTTTGAAAGTGATCAAACATTAAAGAAAATAGTACATAAACATTTTAATTCGAATTTTTAAATATTTTATAATTAGTTTTCATTTAAAATATTTAAAATCAATAATTTTAATAAATGTAAATTTTAAAAATTATTAATTTTTTACTAAATATATGTAATATATTTAAACGTAATAATTTTTTTTAGTGGAAATAATTTCAGTTAAGAATCAAAGCAAATGGAAAAAAATAAATTGTATACAAATTGTTATTTAAAGTGATAAAATATATAATATATATGTTTATAGAAATATAAAAAAATGAATTCGAATTTTTCAAATTTTGTATATGTACACATATTATTTTTAATAAAAAAACTAAAAATTACAATTGTAAAATATGTTATGTAAAATTAAAAAAAAAATTAAATTAAAAATTTGTAAAAAAGTGTACGTATGTATGTAAATATTTTACAAATATTGGTTGTGTATTATATTGAAATGAATCAAAAATTAAAATTTTTAATTTAAAAGTGAGATATTACAAATTTTAACTTTAGCCATCAAATGAAGTAATTTGTGCTTATTTTGAAGCATAAAATCAAATATATGGCGTTTGTCTGAAATTACTGTTATTAAGTTCTGTCATTGCACTTTTATTACTATTTTGCTTCCTTAGTCATTTAATGACCATCTCAGACGTTCTTCTTGTTCATTAAGCTCAAACGAAAGGACACAATTAAAATAATATTAAAATTATAATTGTTAAAGTGTGTGTTACGATTTGTCAAGTACAAAAATTGTATATTAGCAGAAGTTATATAAATGTGTAATTTACGTATTTAGCACTAAAGATGACAAAAATTATTGTATATTTACACTAAACGTAGAGTAAATTTTTAAAAACAAATAAAATTTATATTTTATTAAAAGATTTCGAAGTATTTATTTAGATTTTTAGGATTCTAACATTAAATTAATTTTAAGCTCATTTTATATATTTTTTGCACATTTGAAGACGTATGTTCCTTATATAATATATGTAAATAAGTCCAGTGAAGCCCAAAGCAAGTGTTTGCGAGAAAGTAAGTTATCTTGGAATGTTTCCGTTTTAAATCAACTGGAAATCATAATTTACGGTTAAGGTAGCTGTTGGGCTTATATTTTACTGAAAATTACCTGGACATTGCTTATATGAGCTGGTCAAATTTGACCCGGACTAACAAAAAACCAAATGTTTTTGTATTTTAATAAAAAAAATGTATAATCGCCTTCAAAATACCGTTATAGGTATATATATATTTTTTTTTCTTTTTCTTTGTATATTTTGAACATGCGTCGTCAACGATGCAATCGTGCAGCCAAAGGGAAAGCAATTTTAACAACATTGCTCTGTTCTAATGAGAAGCCTCAAGTTCTTTCTTTCGCTGTACACAGGGCCGCAGAGAAAAAAACCGGAACCGAGAACGATTGTAGTGAATTGTTGGAGAAAAGACACTGCAAAAGACGTTGCAGAGCACCGGACCAGGAAGAATTGTATATCCAACCCCCCTCTCTCCTTCACTAGCTATACATATAGAAGAATCGTTCTGAAAGTGATTATGAACTATTGTGAATAGTTTCTCCAGCCAGCCGTTTCGATTTCTTAGTTCTTACTGTTTTGTAAACGATTTGTAGTTTCTCACGTGCGACAGTTGGACCAATTTTTACTGGATCTAACCAGTTGCACAACTATACATTTCTTAGTCTTCTAAAAGACTAATATTGTTCGAGAGTTATTTATAAACAAGTTTCAAAATGCAAACAGAATAAATTTCTACAGAAATTAGGGGTGCTCCTAGTATGACAGCCTAAATACTGTATCAATTGTTAAACAATTTTAGGGATATATTTATGCATATTTTAAAAATATACAATCAAATTTTTAAAGAGAAAAATTTAGTATTTTTCGAGTTACATACTTCTCCATGGATGACACCTAAATAAAAAAATCTGTACTAGAAGATATTCTACGTAAACTTTCCTACGGTCGAAAACAATATCGAAAATTAACAAAATGGCAGCGTTTTTTTAAAAAAGTTGCATTTTACCCAATATTTTTGTTTATTTTGGAATTTTTATCAGCAAATTCGAAAAATGTAGTTTTGAGTACAACGCCCGATATAACTGTGCGGCTATACTTTAGATGCCTGCAACTCAATAACTATTTAAGAAATCGATTTAAAATTTTAATGTTAGTTTTTTACTTTTTATTAATCGCAATTGATTATTTTTTAATTTCACACTAAGCGTGCCACTTAAAATGTGACTTCAGCTGTTTTTCCCCCGATATCCCTGAAAATATTTCAAAATAATAAATAAAAAATTCAAACTAAAGCTATTTTTAAAACAGACAAGATATATTTAGACAAATCGTGTGCAAATGATTTTTATTTGCTACGCATACATAGATACGATCTAAAACCCGGTAAGTGCCATAATAAATTTTATGAAGGGCCACATATTCATGTACAATTATGCGTTTAAGAAATATTGCAATTTAATTATATGTGTCGACATTTAACCGTAAGTGATTATTATTGCCATTGATATTGATATACTGTGGCCAACTTATTCGTACACATAATATATTATATAATATTTGGGTTGCACTCACTCACTTTTAGTACAGGCATTCAAATTTGTTATAACCAGCACCAGATGTGAATTTATTTCACTGAAATCAGATTGAAAATACAATAACATTGAATTATATTGCAGCGTTAAACTTAAAGTATGTGAAGTAGTAAGGCACATTTACATGCTTACAAACATACATACATATGTATGTATGTATGTATGCTTTATGTAACCTTTGAAGGTGGTTTGGCGGCTTGCGTCTTGCGATTTACGGCTTCCGACTAATGGTGTGCGACCCTTTGCAATGTCAACGGCTCCCGCTTGGTTGTTTGTGCACTTTGCTTTTTATTTATGCGCTACTTATTTTATTTTATGACTCCTTCGCCCCAAGTGGAAACGCCAGTGGCAACTTGTTGGCCCAATATCACTGACCTTCTAATGACATTCCAATATGGACGCCATTCATGGCAACCGTTTTAACGCATGCCTTATTTAACGGTTTTGGATTTGTTTTTTATTGAAGGTGTACAACAACACATACAGTTGCATACATATGTAGGCATAATTCAATTTGACTTATCCCACAGTCAATTAAGAGCAAATTGCATTAGGGTGGTCTAATTTCATAATTACAAAATATGTATGTTGTTGTTGTTGTAGATGTAGAAACCATTTTTAAATCTTTTTGATGAAGGTAGCAACGATGTAATAAAATTTTGATGGATACAAATCAGGTTCCGTCTTGGTTACTTAGAGTTACCTAACGGGAAAACGTTTTAAAAAAGTTATAAAATAGGTTAATGTGTCTAATTATTGTATAAACTTTCATCATTTTAAATAAACTGATTTAAGTTGTTGTTGTAGCGGCAGAATTCCGATATTTCTATACCCTGAACAGGGTATATTAAGTTTGTCACGAATTTCGTAGCACCCAAAAAGAAACGTCGAAAACGCTATAACGTATATATATTAATAATCAGCATGACGAGCTGAGTTAATTTAGCCATGTCCATCTGTCTGTATAAACGCAAACTAGTTCCTCAATTTTTGAGATATCGATCTGAAATTCTGCCCACGTTCCTTTCTCCCCAAGAAGATACTCATTTCTCGGAGCAACGAGATATCTACACGAAATTCGGCGTGTATTATTGCCAAAAGGAGTCTTCCAATCTCAAAACAAATTGTTCAGATCGGATCACTATAGCATCCAGCTGTCATACAAAGTATGCGATCGAAATCAAGTTCTTGTATGGAAAACTTTTTTGACAATATATCATCACGAAATTCAGCTTAGATTATTGTCCAAAGCAGCGCTACAGTCTTCGAACAAATTGTCAAGATCGGACCACTATAGCCATATATTTTGTTCAAACTCAGTTATAAATAATTTCATTAAGCCAAACAACGTCCAAAGTTAATTCACTTCAAAAATAGATTAAAGTCCAACAAAAATTGTTAGCCCTAATCTATGTATATGTACAGACATACATATAGCACAATTAACCGCTGGGAAAGTATCAAATATTTCCTGTTTCTCGCAAGCAGGAAACTTTTCTGGCTATGAAAATGTAATGGAAATTGAACTATCGATAAGTTTTCTTATTTACCAATTCATATTTGTGATTTTCGACGCCTCAACTCAAGTATTCTAAATTAGCATATTCTATACAACAAATTTATATCGAATATACAATACATACATAGTTACATGTATATCCTGAAATTTCTGATTGCAATTCCTTGAAGGATACTTCTTACACATCTTTTCTTTCACATATTTATATGGTTGTATGTACATACTTCTCCATACATAAAGGTGTTTAAATGGATATATAATCATTTTATTTATTGAATTCGATACTAAACGATATGTTATGAAATTACAAAATTTAATTTCCTTTGTTGTTATGTCATTAAAACTTCTAAGTAGGTATCCAACCCGCGAGTTATGCCGAGTGAATGAGTTGTAGTCACTAATTGAAGGTTTCATTTGGCATTCACTCCTAAAACTTAAATTTGTTCAACCTAACCTTGTAGCACAATGGAGAAGCATTTAATTAATTTAATTTAATGGTAAAAAGTGAAACAAATTTATAGTAGGTTGAACCTTTCATTTTTGTTAATTTATCTTTCTTTCCAATGGTTTCTCCTCCTCCTCCTCTTTTTGTTTCCTATGTATTTCATTTTAAGCCCTTAAGACTATAACCAATGTGAATCACTGAAAATCAATACAATTTTTTCCATGCTTTTAGTAGTCGATCTTTCAATACGATTTGGGATTTTAATTAACTTTTCTAGTAAAGTTCACTGACATTATGTGTTGAGAACTGCAGCTCTAACACACATCTTATATAGATATATCTGTGTCTGTGTCACTATCTCTAGCACTGTAGCCTTAAACTCCTAGGTCTTGGTCTAAATTCACTTCTTTATCAATTTTATAAAAATCATCTTATCATATAATATCGAAAATCGTCACACTAACTTTATATAAAACCTTATACTTTTGTTTAACTGTCTATTTGATATTTCGCTTCACTTCTACTACTGCATTCGGCTCAGCACATTTTGCACCAACACACTAAATGAAAGCGTTCAATTACAAAATTATGGACTTTAAATATTATTGAACCGATATACATATACTTGTATTTATAAACTACATTGGAAATGTATTTATTTTATCTCGTGCTTACTACAGCCTCTTTGCGAGCTGCGTCCTGTAGCAGTTGTGTGTCTACCTCGTCACCCGGCAGTTGTACATACCGGACAACGGAGCCGCGTATGAAGCAATTTTTCACAGATAACATATGCGGGTATTTATCCGGATCCGTCACATTAATATCGGTCAATTTAATATTCAAATACTGGTCCACCGAGTGCAATGTGCCGCATATGCTAGAATCAGAATACAATTATCAAATTTGCCGGCAAAATGTGAGCAGTAAATAAGTATATGCATACCTTAAGTCATTTTTCAGCTCGACCACAACGTCCTTACCCACAAGCGATTTGAAGAAAGAGTAAAATAGCTAATTGGGAATATATGATAAAACATATCTATACAATCAAATAGCAATTATTATTTCAAGAAATATTTACCATTTCGCAAATTTGTTTAAACGTTTCAGCTTAATTTTGACAACTTGAATGCTCGGCGCAGAATAACAGCTGATTGTGTAGCCACATAGAAAGGCACGCTTTTTAATTTGGATTTGTCAGTCTGCCCAGAGAACGTTCATATATTAATACGGATAAACAACTAATTTACGTTCTACAGCTGATTTATGATTTTAGACAAGTTCCGCACCTTGAAGTTCATTTTAGCGCCATCTGCATGTGAATGTCTTTATGAATTAGCTGGCAGCAAGGAACGTCAATGAATAGAGAAGGGGCAAACAGAGAATGTTAATGAATAGAGAGCGCATATGTTAGCTGTGCTAAAATGCGCAAATTCGAAAGTTCAAATACACCACGTCAAAAAGGTACCTTCCCCTCATGATATTCGAACTCAACAAACTACACCACTCTAAGCAGGAACCAAGCAAATGTTCACCACCTTATAAAGGAACGGCTAATATATGTATGCGCAAATGTTCTTTGGCATGTGTGTTAAGGAAAATTAGTATAACAAAAATAAATAATAGATTTTGAAGAGCATTTATATAATGACAGAAAAATTAAAATAAATTTAATAAAAAAGTTTTTGAAATTTCAAAAAGAAAACACTACATCTGTGATAGGATTTGAACTCAGGCAATATATTTGATTTGAACTTGCAAAAAGTAGATGTGCTATACAAGCAGCACCACAGACAATAAAGAATGAGCTGTGTCTAATCTGTGAACTCAAACAGCTATTGTCGTTTACTAGTTTCAAATAATTAATTTGTATGCGAATATTCCCGAAATTGCCTTTCCACCATTCGCATGTCTAAATATATTTGCATATATGTACACATATGTTCATATGTATGTATGTCCCTCAATATGCCTTTTGTAAAAAAAAATCCAACATTCGGACAAGCGACAAAAAAAAACGTAGACGCACCATCATCGACCAATACGATTCTAGCAGGCTCGCTCTATTTTTTTAATATTTCTTATTACAACGCCAACAAATTAATTTATAAGAAACGCGCGAACGAAGTGCGATCGTTTATAATTCTGCACTGCGCTCTTTTGGTTTTCTTATGAAACTCCTACCGCAAATGCACGAAAAAAGTTTAAATAAAAATGAATGCAATTGAATTTGAATGTCCTCAGTAGAATTGAAGAATCAGCAAAATTTCAATTTTACAATTTGTATCACTGAAAATCCTACCATTCCCCTCGCATTTGTATGTTGCCCACAAGCTGCTTACTCACTACGATGCTAAAAATCAGAAATTGAAGAATTTGTCTGATGTTCCCTTCAGAAAGGAGAATTGGCAACATAACCTATTAGCGATTTGAAATATTATTTTAATTTTATTCATATTATGCACTATTTATGGCATTAAATTATAAAATTTATATAAAATTGCCATTTATATGAAATCTTTAATTACTTTTATATAAAATATTCTAAGCACACTGAATATAGTACTTTTATATGTTTACTTATTATCATTGCTTCATAGTTTCTCAATTTAGCCCATTTTATCTAAACACGACGCTATGAAAATGCAGCCCAATTGGTAATCGCAATATTTCAAAAGAGCATAAGTCAATTTTCAATAGCAAACCACTGCAAAAAGGGCAAACGTGCCAACATAACCGACCGGCATTGTCGCAAAATTGTCCATTCAAACAAATTTTGTCAACTCGCCTCATGCGCATCGGTCATCTGCCGCTGTTAATAGTGATAACATCGAAAAAGTTAAAGAAACAGTGCTGGAAAATCGTAGTGCTGGCATCAGAAAGATATCAGCGAATCTCAACACCTCTTAGATGTATGTAGATCGACTCAACACATTTTAGTTTATGTTTTGGGTATGAAGCATGCCAATGCTAGACTCGTACCAAACGATTTGAATATTTAAAAAAATACGACGTTTAGTAGAGGTGCAAGAGATACTTGTCCACTTAGCTGAGAATACTACATTTATCAAAATCAATCATTATTTACCAGTAGCTGGACATGGATTTATGAATATGATGTCGAAACTGTTCAAGAATCTAGCGAATGGCGTTCCAAAAATGAGGCTATAATGAAAGAAACAAAATTCGCTGAAGGCACTGAAGGTCATACCAACCGAGGCTTATAACAAGTGTATAGAAAATAGCATCCTTTTATCGGCTAAGTAGCCTATTTTGAAGGCAATAATAAAGATTTGTATTACAACACGGTGATTGATGTTGTTTTTGCGGTTCGCGTGAAATTTGATCAGATTGTACATATATTTTTGAGGGCTCTCTTTCACTATTTCACAAGTATTTCTGTAGCATCCGGATGACATACATATTGTATTTTCGATGCCCCGACATGATAATATAGATTTACTCGTTTGTAATAACTTTTAAATTTATTTTATTTTAGTTTATTATTATATATATATATATATATTTTGTTTTTGTTTTATTTATTTAAAACTAACAATAATAAGATCTGTTTTAGATAAAATTTAAATTTTAAATCACAAATGTTGTTACTACAGGTGTATGCAACATGCCAGAATCTGCCTAATTATTTTGGTTTGTTGGGTATTAACTTAAACATACCGCTGTATGTATGTATGTATATAGTACATATAAATAATTAATTGCCGCATAGTTTTTTCATTATATTTTTGTTATTGGTTTTGTGTTGTTATTTTGTTATCCCAGGGACGTCAACTCAAAGTCCATACAACTCACATATACATACATAGTTCCTGCTGCGCCCACAACAAGTCCCACTCCATTTGACATGTAGCTTAATACTAATAAATTCGTATCCTCTATTCCATAACGGTCAATTGATTTATTGCTCTACATTAAAGTAAGAATTCTGCATCAAGTACAGCTTGTCAATCGGATTGACGAGACTCGTGCTGAGATTGGCGATGATGTCGTGTGGATTGGAGTGTTGATTACCCGAAGAGCCGGTGGACTGCAGCTCCAGATTGTTGAGTGACAAAGAATCGGTGTCATCGTCCAGTTGATCGAAATTGCTGCCGTCCAAAGACAAATCGGAGCTACAGAAACTGTCATTGGAATTATGCGGGTAATCTGCAGGTGTAAAAAGAAGAAGAAAAAAATCAATATTGGAAATTATTATAAATGATTAATTTCACACTACTCACCATCGGGCGAGAAGGGCAGATTCGGATTCAGCGGTTGACTGCCGAAACCGCTGTCGCCTAAGCTCAAATAAGCGCCATCCACACCCGTTATGCCACATTCCTGCTTTATATCCTTATCGTCTTTACCCATATCCTTCTCATCGCCGCTGCGCGAGCTCACCGCACCACCATTGCCACCGCCATTTTTCGCTTTCCGTTGAATCTTCTTCATTTTGGCGCGTTGATTCTGAAACCACACCTGCACCACGCGCACAGACAGTCCGGTATCTTTCGCTAGCGCCTCGCGCACCTTGCGGCATGGCTTGGGCGACTGATCGAAGGACGCTTTGAATTGTTTGCGCTGCTGCGATGTCAATATGGTGCGTGGTCGCTTCGGTCCCCGACGTCCATCACGCGGACGCATCAAATCATCGTCGTCCAGTCCGACGAAACCGCAATGTTGTGCTGTCGCCAAATAGAGCTCTTTTTCGAGATCATGCCGACAGCAGAAAAGCTGGCCGTCACGTAACAAGAATTGTTCGCCCTTCTGCAGTGGCAGTCGGCAGATGTAGCAGATGAAACAAGGCAGGTGGAAAATGAAAGAGGGTATCGGTCGCATGACCATTTCGTGAGGCAGAATCGGGTGACAGCAGCCGGTGCATTTGATGCTGAATAATCTAAAAAAAAAAAATACCAAAAATTTTGCTGTTTTATTTCCGACATTATTCGGTTTATAATTTAGGGTTTCTTTGAATTTTACCTACCGATCGTAATCGAGTTTACAATAAAGCTTTGAATTGCGCACGTAGCAGGTGTTGAACAACTGTATACCACAATAACAACAAGATAAACAGTGCTCGTGCCAGTTCGACTCGCCGACATTCATGAGATAACGATCGTGTATCTTTTGTCCGCAACCTTCGCATATTTCGTAATTCTTCTCGCACTTCACTTGTCCAACTTCTGGAAATAGTGAAAATGAGAGTTTAATTTATCAGTTCATATATATAGTTATAACAAAGAATGCAAAAATTTGAGGTTAGTTCATGCAGTACGTGGAATAAAGCAACTTTAGCAACAATCCACTCAATACCTACCCAATTACTTGAGCCTTACTGTCGCTGGAGTTTTTTTTAAAACCACGTTCGTGTCTAGTCTTCCAACAGAACTGTATATATAAACAGATTTGAAAACTCTTTTACTAAACTAAACTTGCTTGGACCTAGGCACAGTTCTATTTGCAATGAATTCTTAGGCTTGTAGATCCCTAAAATCTCCTATAAATTAAGATGTTTGTGGGAACGTTGCCTCTTTTAAAGTGACAGAGATAAAAAATACCACCAAACAGCTCGGGCCTAACTTCTTCTTCTTAAAGAGTATTTGGTAATTATTTTTTAAAATGATAATAGTATCAGAGACACATGAAGTATGTATTCTGTTTCCTATTTGGATTACAAAAAAATATAGCTCCATAACAAGCTCTCGACGTTTTCATTGCTCTCTGAGGACTTTGGAACAATTTGTCTACAATATTATGAAAAGTTCTACCGCCTAGGACTGTCGTTCGTGTCGAATTAAGCGTACGTTAGATTTGCAAATGAGGTATGCACTGCGACCTAGGGTCTATTGTGCCCTTAAGCGTACGTTAGAACGATCTACATTTAAATCATTATTAATCTTGAGAAAAAGTTCTCGCAAATGGATTAAAAGTATAAATTTTTATAGCCTTGAAAAGTTTGCCACGAAGTTTTTAACATCCAAAAGGAAACGTCGGAGACCTTATAAAGTATATAAATAAATCATCTGACCGTCTGTATATACGCAAACTAGTCCCTCAGTTTTCGAGATATCGATCTGAAATTTTGCCAGCGTTCTTTTCTCTTCAAGAAGCTACTTATTCGCCGGAACCGCTGATATCGGACCACTATACGATATAGCTGTCATACAAACTGATCGATCAAACTCAAGTCCTTGTATGGAAGACTTTTTTATTTGACAAGGTACCTTCACGAAATTCGACATAGATTTTTATCCAAGGCAATTCTTTAATATACAAATAAATTGTTCACGTCGGACCACTATAGCATATGGCTGTCATACAAACTAGCCGATCAAAGTCAAGGTAAATATCTTTTTAACCTGTTTATGCTATAAAAAGTTCATCTGTGAAGAGCATTATAACATCGGTAGCCAAAGTTAGCGTTTTTTCTTAAATATACATATAATATATTATATATAATTATATATACAATGTAAACCCAAGCTTTTCTTCAACTACAACAAAACTTAATTTTCGCAGCTTGAGTTGAAATCAAAATATACTGAGCATGTAATATGCTGAGGTTTTTTGAGAACTTTTGATTGAAAAGCAAAGAGTTTCCTTTATTCGATCTTATGGTAGTAGTATAAACTAGAGTTTAATAAACAAGCT